GGGGAATTCTGGGAGTTGAAGTCCACTCATTTTAAAGTGGCCAAGTTTGGACAACACTGCATTAGGCAAAGACCTGGCTCTCTTGAAAAGGTTGAGGATAACAAGCAGCAAGGTGGATAGACTCATTTACAGAGACAATGGATGTATCATTGGAAGACCTGAAGGACTATGTTGCGGACAGATTGTCCTGGAGAAAATCTCTCTATGTGGTCACTAAGTTGATACTGACTTGATGGCACATAATCAATCAATTGTTCATCAAATTGCTACTTCTCACCCCAGTCTATCTCACAGGTTTGCTGTGTGAATAAAGAACTATGCATCATAGCATACAACATACATTCTCTCATTGATATCTTCTCCACCTACTTCAGCGTTCCTTATACATAGCCCAGCTGTAACTATGCCTATTTTGCTCCTTGGTGATATAAATACAAATAAGAACTTGATTCTTCTAGTGTTCTTTAGTACTTTGCCTCTTTCAAGATGGCACTGCAGAAGGAATAGCAACATCTATGGCATCAGTCATGTGGTAGAATAGGAACTCTATTCTCCAGATGTTTAGGGCTGCAACTCCCATCACCTTCAACCTGCATTGCTAATGATAAGGGATTATAGAAATTGTAGTCCAGATTTTCTAAAGGTATCTGGTAGCTTGCCTCTGGACTTGATCATGTGTTTTGACTCAGATATGTAGTTCCTTACTATTCCAAATTTGAAAAAATCTCATAAGTCTCTTTCCACTGTACTAAAGCAAGATTCTAGTCCTGTTGAAATGAATAAGCTTGAAACACTGCATTGTATTTTCCCATAAGGGCAAAAACGGCACAGGCAGGGAAGGGTCAATCCTTCCTTCACCTCAAATATCATGGTGTAAATCTAATTTCTTTTCTCCTTCACCATTAATTATACACCCTGCTGCTGCTTTTAGAAAAAAACTATAAGGAAAAAGGATCTAAGCCTGCAACTCCAATATCCCAATCTAATTCAGCCTTTATTATTAAGGCTTGCACAGTTGGTAAAGTTTCAATGTGCTATGAGGTTCTTTGTGATTGTGGCTAGCAAAAGTAGAATAGCTTATGAAAACTGAACAGATCTTGAAAAAAACGTATACCACCCATTCACAGAATAGATTTCAGACAGAGAGAGAGAGACAGACCAGACAGATAACATCAAGTGTCTCTAATGAAACTCAAAAGGGGGAGGCCCCATTCATTTAAACAGCATTCGGATTTAACAAGAGCAGATAAGGTGTTTTCCCTGTGCCCTTGACCCTCCTTTCCCAGGGATTTGATAATGGCAGACTTAGCAGCCTTCTGGCAAGCCTATTCCATAATAATTAATCATGTAGACCAACAAGATTGATTTCAGCCTGCCACCTTTTGCCTTAATTGCCAGCCATAGTTTTCACTTCCATGCTAAGTCCTAACTGGGGTCACGGCTGAAACCAGACCACACTCTTGTTATGGGCCACAAGCTGCTTAAAAAGCACTCCTCATTTGGGATAAAAGGTATACAACTTTCTCTGCAAATACACAGCAGATGCATACATGGGCATATTGGAGGTATTGGGTAGCAAACTTCATCTGTCTTGGGTGCTTGAGAAACTGCAGGAATGAAGGACCTGATAAGGATTGGGGGTCACAGGAAAGGGTGAGTTAATTCCATTCTACCTCCTCCATACTACAGTCCAAAGAAAACCACACACACACACACCAGTGCTAGTAAAACAGGACAGTCTAGAATGATATACATTGAGAGAGGCAATGTGTTCCCATAGGTACCCGTGGACACCACTCTTAGTGCTGTTAGGCTCTGTGCCCATTTGCAAAACAAAGCATCAAACTTTAGGATCATCTTTATTTAGTAGAAAGTCTCTTGACCCCACATAAGCCCCATAAATCATTCTTAGAAAATAAAAATTATACACAGCTTTTTGGGGACCTTCCAAAGACATAGGTAACCTGGGGAATGAGAGGACTGCTTGGGATCAACTTCTCTACTTTACCTTCTGGTAGATGGGTGCTTTGTGATTGGCCACAGACACAACATCATCTCAGCATTCCAAATATGCTTACTGGTTAAACAGGCTATTTAACCTTGGTGTATCCTGTTCCCAGCAGATATTGTTTTTCTAGTCCATGTACTTTACAACATGTACTTTACAACACACAGGATGCTTTCCTGTGATTTGAAAGGGATTTAGTGAGGGAGAAGTGGCCATGCTTGAAAGGTTCAGCAACTGGAGGTGTTACACTTTTAATAAAATGGTTAGTTAAACAAATCCTTTATAATAGAATCTGGACTATAATATAATTCTGGACTATTGTAATAGTAGTGAATTCATTGGTAAGCCAGTGACTATTGATAAGCATAAAATATAAGACAGATGGTTTTTTTCCTTTCTTAGTTTGTAATTTTAGTTTGTACCCTTAATTTTTTAAGGTTTTTTTTTTTTGGAAGATTAAATATTGTTTTGTTACAAAAATAAAGATATTAATTTTTTCCCCAAAAAGTATTCTGGACTATGATGAAAGCTTTTTCCTAGAACAAATCATGGCTTTGGAGTAGGGCTGTCCGTAGACTATGAATCTCACTTGAAAATTATTTTTCCTTGCCTTACTTGTTTTGGGAGGGACTAATTGTTGAACAGCAAAAGGCACTTGGCACCCAATCAAAGAAGTTTTCTTTTTATACTATAGCACAGATTGTAAGTAGTATTATTTCATATAGCTGAAACAAAATATGGATTTGGGTCTTGAACTCTAGCTCTGCTTCAGGTATGGTTAAAGTCAAGTCCTCAAGTGTTTTTCAAACTTGGCAACTTTAAGATGTATGGACGTCAAGTTCCAGAATTTCCCTGCCAGCAGGCTGGCAGGAGAATTCTGGAAGTCGGAGTCCACACATCTTAAAATTGCCAAGTTTGAAAAACACTGATTTATCTGTTTGTGTTTTGACTTGCAGATGCTGGTTTGGAAAGCGTGCAGGAATTTACACTGATTACATCTATCAAGGTCCAATGATACTGGTGCTGTTGGTAAGAGTGGAAGCCCCCTCCTGTACACCCCCAAGTTTTTCCAGGGTGACCAGAGGCAAAAGTGGAGAGCATTTCCAATGCAGTAACTATGAATGGAAAGAGGAACTCTGGCAGGGTCAGTTGATTATTAGTAGGGAAAAAATGTGCAAGCTAATTTCTCTTGTTCAGCTCTGAAAAGTTTTAACCTTGTTCTTCTCTGCCTCTGGTCCTCCTGGATGCAACTCTTTCACTATTGGAAAATAATATATCAGTTTCCTTTGCATCAGGGAGTCAGTCTCTTACATTTTTTCCCCCTTTTCCTTTCCTTTCCTTTCCTTTCCTTTCCTTTCCTTTCCTTTCCTTTCCTTTCCTTCCTTCCTTCCTTCCTTCCTTCCTTTCTCTCATGCCACTATTTAGAGACCCAATTTTATCAGTGTCAGAAGGGGGGAGAGAAAGAGAGTGAGCACTAAGCTTTTCCTTGCAGGCTGCTTGTCCGCTAAGAACACCCAACTATTTTTTTTTCAGTCATTGGGGAAGGAACAGAGGAGAAGTTAAGAAGTCCAAGGATTCTTTTCCTTGTGAGTGATCAGTGGTCTACAGGGACAGAGATACTCTATCCTCCAAAGCAATGTCACATCTAGCTATATTAAAGTAACAACAAAAGGGTGACAAGTCTCTTGAATTATAGCTTTCTTTTATTCCTTCTTTCCTCCCACTCCTCCTCTTCCCACTCTGTTTTTGTCCTGCTGCTGTACTTCCTCTCCAATTTCTCTCCCACTCATGCTACCACCACTGTATCAGTTGAACACAGCATACTTCACACACATTCCCCATCCCCAGCAAGCCTGCTAATAATGTTCTTTGATGAGGATAATAGTCACTGCCTTATTACCCAGACCACGTCTCTGTTGCAACCTTGGTCAATGCAGAGTCCTGGGGAGAAAGTGGGAAGTGATTGTATTGTTAGAGGCTGATGCCAGGCAGAGATAATACAGTTGTTTCTGCCCTCTGTGAGCTGTGGCCATTATGTTTCTGAATCCAAGTATTTAATTATACTTGAATTGATAGAGACAAGAGGACAGAAGCTCCCCCACCCTGAAATCACAGCAATCTGTCTCTGGAAGAGTTTTCAGTCCAAGGTTGTCTTGATTCCATTCTGGCAAAGCAGCTTTCCTCAAACGAGAACTTCCCAAATATATGGGACGACAGCTTCCATAATCCCCAATGGCTTGTTGTTCTGTGCAAACCAGAAGGTATGATTTGAGATAGATAAACTAAGCAACTCGGAACTCATTGCTGAGTTCCTGAGAAACTGACCTTCTGCTTCATATGTAGTGTAAGACCAGACAAGAGACTGAATGCTGATTTAATGCTTTCTCAAAGGAATAAGAAAGGGAATGGGGGAAAATGCTGCCTAAGGTTTCACTTAAGATCCATTGAGCTTTTACACATGGTGCTAAACCATAATTTAGCACTAAGTATGACCCAGGCTTTCTGTCCTGCTTCCGTCAGATCGTTCAGTGTAAAATAAAAAAGAAAGAATCATGGAATCCACTTGTATATTGTTCTTTAACATGACCAAAACTATGAAGAACCACTTCTAAAATTGTACCAAGGATTTGGTATCGTACTGTATAGACATAGGTGATGCACAGCATCATAGACACTAGGCATCCCCATTGCTAGCTTTTCCTCAGTTTAGTCTGCAAACTTAATAGGACCATTTTTTAAATGCCTAGCTTTTTTGTTGAGATAGAAAAATACTATTTGGTTTGTGGACAGTGATCATGCTGTCAGACTACCAGCACAACTCTAAAAAACTGTTAATCTTCTGTCTCTATCCCCACAGTCAGTAATGAAAGATTTAGAGAAATAGAAAACTGCAAATCAAATGAAACACCATTGATAATTTGCCACATAGACAGTAACCACATTCATTCTAACAAACTGGGTTTTAACCAGAGATTATCCAACCTTCATCAGCAGTCCTCTAAAACAGACCAGTTTGAAATAGGGGATAGGCTATAACCTTTTTTCTAATCTTCATATATATTGGACATTCCAAGATAGAACAAGAAGTAAGGTTTCTACACTGATACACTTGCAACTATATGTTTTTTTAATTGACAGTTTTCAGACTCAGGACCAGGTCAGTCATTCTGTCACCTAGAAGAAAGGATGATCCTTGTCAGAAAAGGACTGGATCAGTAATAGGATAGTACAGTCACCCACTTCCTCTGGGGCAACAGGATAGGTTAAAGTCCCAGACAATTGACACGTGTGTTGTTGTTTGCAAGAAGGCAATGACACAAGAGATAAACTGGCTGTGATTATTAAGTTCAGCTTGGATTTAACTCTGGCACAGTTAAGAATTTAACATATTATATACAAGGTACCATTATTACCCATAAGATGGGTAGGTTCAACTTTTGGTAAATACCCATTTCCTCACATCCCCCTCTTTCTAAATAAAATAACTTATTCACAGTTCACTTCTTGTGCCATTCATGCAATATTTAACACTGTTCAATTAGTCTGCTCGGCTTCTTGATCAAACATCTGTTCATATCACTCATAGAGTAGCATGTGAATATCCTTTGTCACCCCAATTGGCACTGATTGTTCTAAGCTTTCTGCTCTGAGGAAGTTGATATTTAACAAAAAATTAAGCTACCCATGTTACAGAGCAAGAGAGTTTTCCTTGCAATATGTTAATTTTTTGTTCCATGTTCAAGCTGATACTAATAAACACAGTCATTCACCTCTTGTTCCATTGCATCCTCATAGATGCACAACATGGGGTGTTAGAAGTGAAGCTTAATTCCTGTGCAGCAATGATGATGTGCTAGAGACTAGGGCTGGGGGCACTTCTACAAGCTTGTTAAAAGAAAACAAAATGTGAATATTACTGCACAAAGTAAGTACAAGGCTTGAAGTCAGTCACAGCATTACTCTGCAATAGACAATAGTACTCTCTCTGATGTTAGCTGAGCAGAAACAGCCACATTTTAAAAAAGTGATACTCTGAGACCACCACCAGAATTGAAGCTTACTGGTAGTGTGGAAAGCTAATTAGTGGTGATGCTTTTAACCAAGATTTTTGCTGCGTGTGAGAGCAATTAGCTACCATGAAGAAGAGGATGAACAGAAAATGGCACCCTTCCTGACAGTGGTTGGAGCAGATGCTTTGATATATAATACACTTATATTCATAGATGAACAGAGAAATAACCTTAAAGGCCTACTGCAGAAATATGAGGCATATGGTCTGCTACAAATAATGTAATATATGAAAGATTTATCTTCAGATCATACCTACAGAAGAAGACTGAGACCATTAAAGAATTTGTAACAGAACTGAAACTAAAAAGGAAGTCTTGTGACTTTGGTATGTTGATTGAAACTTAGATCAAAGATGCAATAGTTTGGGGCATAAGAAAAGGGAGAGCACAAGAATGCTTACACATTCTTGGAAAAGGGGCAAGTATGCAAATGATGTAGCTGATGTGGCATGAAGCATGCCTATAAAGCACATGTGCAGAGATGTCAGAGTGTGGCTAAAATGTGCTTCAAAAAACAATTCAAGCCATATACAGAGAAGTGCCGAGTGTATGAATCAGAAAATGCTATCTTCATGGGGTCTGTTGACGTGGATAGGGTAAGACACCAGAAAGACAGCTATGTTAAAACAGTGGAATCCCCATTGCTTATAAGATTTATGCTGGCGCGCAAGTCAGTCTAAAAGCTGAAAGTGATTACAACTGAATAATGCCTAAGCCGACCTTATGCCTAGTAACCATGCATCTAAAGTCTTATATTGAGGATCCAGTAGCCACACTGGGTTGCTGTGAACTCACTTTGAAAGAGAAAGGCACTCTATATGATATAAAAGCATTAGCTGCACCAAATCTGTGAAGAACCATCCTGTACCTAGAAACTCCTAAGAAATTATCAATAGTGAATCAAATTGACTTGATCAATATTGAACTATCACAGAAAAAAAAAAGCCTCTATGCTTAAGCAGGTATGAAAATGTCTTTTATGTCTCCCAATAACCCAGCACTTACCCTTAGTAAAGATGCACAACCAATAATACATCCTATGAACATGATACCAGGAGCACTGAAACAAAATTAAAAGCAGAACTGGACAGAATGCAAACAAGTGCAATTAATTGCCAGACTGAAGAACCAACTGAACAGGTTCATTCCATGTTTATAGTTTACCTGAAAGATGGAAGTCTGAGAATTGGCCAAAGAATTAAGTAAGTGCATTCACAGAGAGCATTAGCACAGCACACAGAATTCAATTCATAGGGTGTTCAAGAGGAGCAGTTAGGTCATCATTCCTGGCTTCCACAGTCTGCTGCTTGAGACAATTACCTCAGTATACCTACTATAATGGAACAGCTGGCCCAGTATAGAACTAGGAAGGGCTCTTGTTCTGGAGTCCAGTGGTAGCATAAGTCTTCCTTGCTTATTAACGGTGATAAATTTAAAGAAAACATAACTATAATTAATATGTAGAAGCCAAGGATTCTCCATAAAAATTCTATTAAACATAGTGAGTTGAATCTCGATTAGAAATCCATTGAAATTAGTGGGATAAATTAATCACAAATAGCTTAAGATTCATAATCACAGTAGATGTGTAAGTATGATTAAACCTGGATTCAATTCATTTTCAGTGTTCCATAATGCACCAAGGCTTTGATCAATAAATAATATTGAATACAAACACCAACCAACAACATAAACAGGGAATGGAGACAATGTTGAATTAAACAGAGACCTTTTGTTTTCCACGAGATAGTAACAAAATATAAAAATCACAAATTGAATCTTCTAGTTTTAAACCAAAAAAAACCAAACAAGCCCTCTTTGGATTACAAATATTCCATTTGATATAAATCTCTGACAAATAGTTGAGAAAATAGCTCCTCCCAGTGGCAGAGAGAATGAAGTAGCCTGAAAAATAAAAATTAAGTTTTGTATTTTTATTTTTGCATTTTGGTGCCATATTGGAAACTTTCTTTAAAAATGTATAAAAACATATTTTCAGGACATGCTATGCACATTCTCTCAGAGGTTGGAAACTAGGCTGCGTTTCTTAAATGTACATATAAACATATGGTTGCAACAGGATGGAAGCAGGATTAGATAGGCAAATGGGAATTGCCCAAGAGAAGACCCCATAGGAAGTCTCGTACACACCATGCAAAGCCAAATATTCATAAGTTACCATCAATCATGCAGACTGTTATGAATCTATCACAGCTTGAAGATGCTTGTGCATTTGTATTGTTGGACATCAGATGTTCAGAAGAGACTGTTCATTTTTTAATATACTTTATCAGCCTTCCCTAATCTAGTTCTCTTTAGGTACACTTGGACCTCATAGTTCTCAGCCAAAATGGCCCCAGCCTGAGAATTTAAATAGTTTGAATCCAACAATCCTGTGGAAAGCTGCCTTAGATCGCCAAGTGGATAACCCATAGCAGAGAATAAGAATAGATAAGAATTCAGTGTACACGAGCACATCTGATTGTGCTGTGCAAGAGTATATGAGTGCAAACCTGTAGAAGAAGTACCTTTGAACCGTATGGTCCCCTGGCTGTTGGATTCTTTCAATATCTTGTCTGTGCACATTGCTCTTAGTGCTGTCTGTTGGAGAGGGTATCTATTGCACGTATAACTTATTTTCATCACCATCTTTCTTTCACTGAATCTTACAGCTGAATATTATTTATTTATTACACTAAAAAAATCACTTCTTTCCTCCAAAGAAGTCAGGAGAGCTTATATGTAGTAATGGTGGTCCATTTACCAAATGAATTAATTTAGTAACCATGTTAATTGTATTTTGTGAAAGCAGCTGGTGTGTTTTATGAGTAATCAGTTTGAACTTATCTGTAGCTAAACTATATCTCCATTTCTGGCTGTGAATACACTATAGGTAGTCCTTGCTTAGCAACCACAATTGAGACTGGCAACTCAGCTGTTAAGCAAAGAAATTGCTAAGTGACTGTGGTTATTATCTTACTTCAGCTTTCTTTTGCTTTACAAACCTGTGAAGGTCATAAATGAGAGGATTGGTCATAAAGTTACTTTTTCATCACTATTGTAACTGCAAATGGTTGCTAAATGAGGCAGTCACTAAGTGAGGTTTACCTGGATAGAAGTGGGAGAATAATTTAAATAGGTTAGCTGAAGAAAGAACAAGGAATAGAATGGAGAATAATAATGTCAAGAATATAAGCTGGAAACTCTTTGGTTCAAATATCTTCTCACTGGATGATTTCGGGCCAGTCACTATCTTTACCTATTTAATCAACTTTATAGGGTTGTAAGGATAAAGTGAGAAAACGGAAAAATTATGTACTCACTTTCAGCTGCTGGAGAAAAAACACAACACAGTAAAATATTACACATGCGCACACACACACACACACACCAAAAATGCCATGGTTTAAAT